GTGTTTTCCACCTCCAGCTAACGTGTAATGATGATGATGATGATGATGTATGAACGGTTTCGAATACGGGGAACAAATCTAAGGTATAGAAGCGATATACGAGGTGGAACTTATGCGATAAATCCATTGAGTAAATTTTGTGTCCGCCTACGGATGAGCCCGTTACGTTATACGGAGGAATTCAGAGGATGCAAAGACGCGGCATGCATCTGTGTACCTTGTTACTATCGGGAATTTCTCGGCTCTCGCGATTTCGCTGTAAAAGGCAAAACTCTGTGAGTCGATGGCAGTACATCTATGGTTAGGCGAAATCTCTGGACTAACGATACTCGATTAAACATTTCGGTCTTATGCTACGGTTCATAAAACTATCGCACGAACTGCAACGCGTATGCCCCCCAGTCGGACGATTCTGCGTTATAATCTACGTTCAATACCGCGATAGACGGTTACCGACGGCCCCCAAAATTCTTAACGCAGAAAACGCAACATGATACGAACCATTTTATTTAAGTACAATATTTCATGAAATCGATGCGTCTTGTAAATGCGTCCATTCTGATGGGAGGAATATCCGCATAGTAACTAGTGGGGTGGAAATTGGACGTGACTATAATCGTTTTCTATACGGATTCAGTAGTGTATCCCTTGATGTCCACTGTGAACGGGAATTTATCAAAAATATACATTAGGTATTGTAGGGACCATTGTCCATGGTAGTCGTCGATGACTACCAACAATTGGCCCGTGTAATGAACCCACCATTGCATTCCGTTGTTAAAGTAAAACGACCCCGCCGTAGGCACTTCTCAAGCGCAGACGTAGGTATCCCCTTCCCCGCTGACCCATGGTGCCATTCAACTTTCGTTATGAACACCCTGGGTGGCGTAGGGCAGGCCAGTTCGAGTGCCCGCAGCAAATGTGCAGCGTGACGTGTGAAGAATTGGAAATACTTCTTCACCAATTCTGAGTTGGATTGGCCTGCTTTTTTGTCTCGTAGGATTTGTTCGATTTTTTTGCTTTTCGGTAGCTGCTTCGATGTTTGACCAAGGTCCGGCAGCTCCGGTGTCCTCTTTTCTGCAGTACCGCTCCGCTGCTCCGGCGTTAACTGCCGATTCGTGATGGCTTCCGGGGAAGAGTTGCTGAATAGTTGCTGGCCTGACGGCATTAGGGAATCGTAAGTAAATCTGAAAACATCGGGTAACCTCGGTGGATCCCCGTTCCTCCTGGAAAGTATCGAGGATCGCTCGTTGAGTGCAGATCCGAATGGCTTCCTCATGGTTGATGGTCGTTGTTTAGCGAACACAGCCAATACCTGGAACGTGAAGCAGCCATCGACATGAGTAAAGCTGCGAAAGCAGCGATGATCGAATGTGACGAGCCTCTTTATGTCTGTCGACCTGATGAGCCAAACCTCACAACCATATAGGAGAGAACTGAACGGACGGCTGCGTTATAATCTCTGCCGCTTAGGGTGAGAGTAATGTCGCGTCTGCACAACAGGTGGCGGACACTGGTAAAAACACCTCGAGCAATTGCTA